GGGATTGCTCTGGACTTTATGTGTACAACTGGTTTTTTGTTTTTGGGTTTTTTTGTATTACAAGATCCCAGGTTTCTGATTTTGTGAAGTTGTCATCAGCATCCAGTCTTTGGTTCACAATTGCTTTGCTTTGGGTCTTCTGTCTTTAAGGTTCTGATTTTTAAAGGTAAGGAGTGGTTCCCTAACTTCCTGAATCTGTGTGTCTGGACTTTCACCTTACTGATTTTATTCTTGACAGGTGCCCTTCAAGAACCACCTTGTGATCTCATTTCAGTTTCTTAACAACCCTTTGAAGATAACTTCAAAATCTAAATCTTGCTTATGGCCCATACCCACACTCTGAGGTGTGTTTTATTTTCTTCCTGGGTGCCTCCTTCCTTCTCTTAATCTCATGTTTAAAATCTTTATTTAAAATATCTTTTAGGGCCAGCAAGATGGTTACACTCACTGTGTAATCCTGGAAACCTCAGTCCAATCCTTGAAACCAACATGAATGTGGAGAAAACAGACTCTGCACATGCACTGTGACACATGTGCCCACACGCAAACCATGCATAAGCACACCAATAAATAAAAATTTAAAGTCTTTTTTTTTGCCGAGGTCAAACCACTTTATTAGAGGTTTAGGAGTGGGGAGGGGCGATGTCCTTGGCAGGGTAGATCTCCCTACTGGTTTGCTGCTAAAGAAAAATTTAAAGTGTTTTAATGAACTGGAGGCTGAGGCAGAATTGTTGCAAGTTCAAGGCCAGTTTGAACTACATAGTACGTACTAGGCCAGCCAGGTGCTCAGTGTGCGACCCTGTCTCAAAGAAACCAACAACAGCAAATTGAGGCAGGATAGAAAGACAAGGGAACTCCAGGGATATAAGAAGAGAAATGAGCCCTCGCTCCATCTGGTTGAAGCCTCTGGTGGTGAGGGACACCTCCAGAATCAACTGTTGTTTGAGGTGGGGTCTCGGTAGCCAGGCCGATCTCGGACTTGTGGCCCATCTTCTTGCTTCAGCCTTCCACGCTCTGGGATTGCCAGGCTCAGCTAAGACCATTTTTATAGCTATGTTTCAAGTAAGAATGCTAAAACAGCAGGGAGATAATGACTGCAGCTTACAGAGGTGACCTTTGAATTTAACTTACTCCTGTCTCATCTGTAAGACAGTCATTTTCTGAGACTCTCACAAGATTATGAACCTTGTTCACATCAAAACAAACTCTGACTTCCTCGTGACCTAGTATAGTAATGATTCCCTTGACCCTTTTGATCTGTGTAGCTTATCAGCCTGTTAATGACCCAGTGCACCTCATTAACCACCCTATGACCTCATCCACTAAGCTTCGTAGATCAAAATGAATATTGCCAAGATATTACTTAATCATAAAGCCTTTGAACAATGTAACTCCAGAAGCCTCCAAAATCGTATATATAGCTATGGTTAAGACACTTAAATGTGACTCTGGGGACACTCATGCTGCTCTGGCCTTCTTAAGTCTCTTTCGAATGGGTAAAGGTCTGCACTGCCAAGCCTGATGACCTGAGTTTGTCTCCAGAATCCACATAGTAGAAAAAGAGAATTAACTCCTGTCAGATATCTGACCTCCACACACATACCATGGCACATATGCCCCAAACGAAATAAATAAATGTTAAAAAATTAAAAAGAGAAAGCCTTAAGTTAGCCTCTCCCCGCCGTTTCCACACTGTCTATATTAAATTTTTTCTTGTCTTTCTCTATGTGCATGCATGTGGAGGCCAGAGGTCAACAATGAGTACAATTATCAATCTTTTTTCTGCCTTGTTTGTGTGTGTGCATGTGTGATGTATGTGGGGAGTCCTGCTCTGTCTCATTCTTCCTTATGTCTTGAGACAGGGTGTCCTGCTGACCTAGAGCTTGCTGGGTTTGACCAGCCTGACTGTCTGGCTGGCAAGCTCCACTGATCCTGTCTCTGCCCCTCTGAACACTGGGGTTACAGGCATACAGTCATACCTAGCTTTTTCCATGGGTGCTGGGGATCCAAACTCAGATCCTCAGGCTTGTGTAAAAAGCACTTTACTGAGCTGTTTTCCCCAGCCCAAAGTGCTTTCCTAATAAATAACTTTGTATAATATTGACTTGTCCTGGAATTCTTTTCTACGGTATAATATCAGCATTGCTGGGTATAGTGTTACACACTTGCAGTTCAGCATTTGGGAGACAGAGGCAGGAGGATCAGAAGTTTAGTATCCTCAGATACAGAGTGAGTTCCAGGCCAGCCTGGGCTATGTGAAAGCCTGTCTCAAAAACAGATAAATAAATATATAAAGGAACTAAACGAAGACTCTTGGCATTGTTTAAATGGAGGTTCCTGGGAGGAGCTCTGGCTGTGATGTATTTCTAGAGAAGTGTATTAGACACAGGGGCTAGTGAAGCCTACACGGCCGCTCAGATGTGGGGATGGATACTTGTCAGAGCTCTGCTTTCCAACCAGAGAACACACACATGGCTCAAGGATACAGGACAGGTCTGCACATGATCCTCTGTGTGATCATGGAGTCACACACAGACACCCCCCCCAAGAAACTTCAAAGTGGCACCCAGAGAGCGAAGCCAGACATTAGAACAAAGCCACAGGGGACAGTAGGGGTAAACACCAGGACTTCTAAATGCTCAGATGCTGCTGGCTAAATTGTGTGTGACCTTGGAAAACACATCCTGCAAACCCCAGGGATAAGACATAAGATGCCATGGTCCCTCCTGGAAGAGGAGGCTATGATCAGAGGGTGGTTCCTGGAGGAGGTAGGCAGGACACAGGCCTTGACGCACCAGGACTGTGCATACACTGGGGGAGACATGCTGGACCCAGGAGCGTGCTCGTGTACACAGAATGTTCAGGAGGCTAAATGCACGTCACCTGTGAACACTGAAACTGACTTGTCACAGTAGCTCTTATCCCGGCCTTATTCAAAACACACAAACTGGTTTCACTTTCACAATGTGAGTGTTTTATAAGGAAATAAACGTTCACTCAGTTGTGAAGGACATCTCAAGGGGTAAAGGGTGAGATACTGGGAGCCCTCAGCTGCCCCTTACAATGAGACCCTCCTGCCCCACCAGTCAAAGGCCCCTTCCTCTGGCATCCAAAGTACCTGCTTGAGAGATAACAGCCAGAAGAGGAAAGAAGTAGGCAGTGTGATTTGGGATGTGGCCTCAGGGATAAGGGGGATGGGGTGGTGGTCATTTGAGCCTCTCTCTGGCATGTGTTGGCACTGGGGGTCCCTGGGGACCCTCTGAGGGTGCTGTCTGGCCTCTGTGCTCCATGTTCTACACTAACACTGATGCCCTCTTCCCCCAGGCCATAGGCTCTGGGTTTTATCTGTCCAGTAGAAGAACCACGGCTTTGGAAGAGCCCAGAGGACTTTGATCTCTGATGGTCAACTCTGGACACCAAGCGGCTGACCATTCCCCCAGGTACCACGTGTCCCTAGGAAGGTGGGCCTTCTCACCGCCTGAATGCCTGTGACGTTCTAGAAGTTCTGTGTGCGGGGCAGCTGGCCCTCGCCGGGTCAGTCTGGTCGGTCCCGTCCGTTCCCATTGCTGCAGGTTCCAAGAGCTGCGTTCAGCTTCAATTCTCCATGTAAATGGGGGGCCACTTCATCCCACTCTCCAGCATCTTCTCTGGGGCTTGACCTCAAGGTCTGCAGCCTGTGAGGTCTTTTCTTGGTGTTTGGAGACCCCGTCCTTGTCCCTGATCTCGTGTGCTAGCATGTCACTTTAAGGACCAGTATGGCCTGCTATACAGCCAGATACCAGGTTCTCCAGGACCCTTCACCTGCATAGACTACACCCATATCTCAGGGTTCTCCTCTGGATCCCAAGGCCACAAACACCCCCATAGGGTCACTGTGGGGCCTCAGGTCTTGCCCCAGTATACACTACTCACATGTACATGAGTCTTTTCTGAGTGAAGGTATCATCACAGCCCCCGGGCCACTCAGGATAACAAACCCCTTGTCAGGAAAACCCAACCCATCTCCTGCCCTGTAAGTGGCTCTTTCCCAGGGTCTCCTGTGGCATCTACAGTCATAGATTCCTCCCTCCACTGCCCATGAGAAAGTTCACAGGTCAGGGCCTGGGCTGACCCCACAGTCCCACTTAGCCACAACAAGGCTGGAGCTTGGAGAGCTGAGTGCTTTGGGAGTGTCGGTGTGTGTACAGAGGCCAGCTGGAAGGCAGCATGGAGCTGGCTGAGAAGCTGGGTACACAGCAGGCTTCTGCCAGTACTCCCAAGGACAGCAGTCTCTTCTCACCATGATACCTCTCACACTCTGTCCTCACAGCAGGCTGCAAAGCGCTTTTGCAAGGAGCACCTCTCAAACGCCCCCGTAAGTCTGGTACCTTTTCCAGGTGGGGTCAGGGTGCCCTCCAAGACTTACCCACAGGGTGCCAGACCCTGGTGGGGACAAGCAGAGCACAGCAGGCTCCCTCTGTCCTGGTATCTCACTGTGTGGTCAGTAAAGGCTATCAGCCCTGGAGCCCTCTGGCTGACCACCCCATCTTGCCCACCCATACATGTCATTCCTGCCACATACCTCAGGACTATGTGGAAGACCCTACCCTCCACAGCTCAGCCCTGAGGTGCCTGCTTTTTCTTGTGTGTGTGCAGAGGGATCATCCTGACCCTGGCCTCTACAGGAAAGCAAACTCATCAGCTCTCCCAAAGAACAACCCTTGCGCCTTGAAGAAAGGACCAGTCTCAGCCAGGGCTCTCCTAGAAAAAGCCTGGACCCTCCTCCCGTATTTATGAGATGGATAGCTAATGCAGGGCTACTAATTAAAATGTACTAATGAGTGAATTGCCAAGAAGCTCACACACTGTCATGTGGACACAGGGTAGTTCCTGAAAGTTGCGCTGCTTTTCAGAGCTCATTTCTTTCCCAAGTTAGTATAGTTCTCTGGCACGGGGCTGGACAGGATGCCTCCTCCAGCCCCTCCCTCTAGGCTTTCAGTCCTCCTCTGGGCTGGGGAGCACAGATGTCTAGCAGCAGCAGTGGAGGCAGCCCCGGAGGTCCTCACGAAGAAGGAGCAGGTGAGAGACTTGAGGGCATCCGGTAGGTGCTCTGCAGGTTGAGGGCTCTGTGGGGTGGGGGAGTCCCGAGTATCGGCCTTCAGGAATGGGTGTCCCTAGCTGCAGCACCTCTGGAATGCCCACCTTGCTGGCTGTGTCTCACCTCAAAAAAGGGCTGATCAAGAGCAGAGTTAGGCCACTAGCCAGGTCCTTGTGATGCAGGGAACATGGAATGTGTGCCGGGTGGGCAGTCAGGGCTGCGTTCAGTGCTCAGCAGGACCTGTGTATCTCCAGAAGCCTCAGGCTGGTCTCTGGAAGAGTGAGGATAGGTCCTAGTTCTCCAGTGTTCGTTGAGTCAAGTGAAGAGGATGGAGTTCCCCTCTCTGCCCTCTGGATATACATGACGTGGGACTTTAGGAGATGGGAGGATGGGCACTGTGCCCCAGGACTACAAGTTAGCAAAATGTGCTTACCCCACCTGCACACAGATTCTCTTGGCCCACAGGCATGCGCACACCCTCTGTGCAGTCCTGCAGGGACCCTTCCTTGCCTTTGTCCTTGCTCATACCCACACCCCGAACATTCACACGTACCCACGTCCACAAGAGAGCATCCCCCCTTCCTTTCATTTTTGCCTCCACCGTCACTCCACCCTTACCCCATCCTAAGTCAACCACCTGCACTTTGAGAACCATGTTCTGTGCCTTGAGCAAAGGACTTCCAGTGAGGGCCAGAGCTGAGCCTGATCTCCACAAGCAGCTATGTGGCATCTTGGGAAATGAGGTCCCGAAAGAGTTAGGCTGAGGGGTCTGGGAGGGGCATCTGTTCCGGCCATCTGCCCTTCCTGGCCACATGCCGGTGGACACAAACTCCTGGACAAGGGGCTCCAGGTGCCATGTCCTCCAGGAGCTTGACAGTGAGTGGACACAAAGCCACTGGCATGAAAGAAGTGCAGCCCAGCCTTCAAGGAGCATCTGAGCCAGGGCCTACTGTGCCCAGCACTGGGCTGGGTGCTGTGCTGCAGAAGGCCAGCTGCCTGGCAGTTTCTGTCCTGGTGTCCTGGGGAACGGTGCTCCACTAGGCCTATGACATTGGCCTAGTTGGGACTTCACTTCTACCAAGGGACTGGAATGGAATTTTTGGCATGGGTGCGAGGACCATCTGCTGAGGTCGCCAATCGGTGGCTGACCCTCTGGAGTATGTTCTCACACATCTCCAGTCAAGAGAGACCTTAGTCTGCCCTCTGCCCCCTGTACCTGGAACTGGAGGGTAGTAGGCTGGGGTATACCCTGCCTCTAAAGGGAAGTCTTCAGACAGAAGAGCTCATGGCCCTGGCCGGGAGGCAGAAATCTACTGATGATCAAGGGCATCCTCCAGTGGCCTCCAGAAGGAACCCAAAAAAGCCCAGGCCACCCCAGAACAGGCCTCTGTGACAAGGCAGTGGCCTTGACCAGCCTGGGAGGTGGCTTGAGACAGACTCACCAAGGCTCCAGGAGAGAGCACACAGTGGTGTTGAACCTGAGTGATGTGCCCTACACCTTGTGACTCAGCAGAGAACCCTCAAGAGCCAAGGGGACCCTGTGCTGTCCTCTGCCCCACTGCCAACTCCAGCTCTGGGGCTGCACTTACTGGAGAGGAGATGGCTGGGAAGCAGCAGAAGACCCAGCAGGGGCCTGCCTAGGCTCCCTCCAGCAGCTAGACAGAGAAGCAAGACAGATTGAGGTTCATATGAGACGCAAGCCCGGGCACAGCCGATTCAGGGTGAGACAGACCCCAGGCAGGGCTCACGCTTCAGCAGCTGCAGTGCTGAGCAGCAGGGAGGCCTAGGGGCCCAGATAACCTACAGCATGCCCAGAAAGGTCGCTTAGCAGGTCGTGTGCTGGTAGACCCTTTCAGGTTGGAGAAAGTGTTTTCTAGCACTCTCAGTGAATGTATTGGGCAGATCTTGTCTGAGGTGGAAAAGTCCCCTCAGAAGTTGCCAAACCTTTCTAAAAGTATCCAGTTCCCAGTAACCCAGGATGCTGGTGAACTGGTTATGCAGATCCTGCAAAAGGGCAGAGGCTAGAACCGTAGAAATGCGTAGGCTGCACTCAGAAGATGCAGAGTAGGTTCTGGCAAACCCCCGTTCCCAAGGGAAAAAAGGTACAGAATTAGATCACAGCTCTGGCTGAAAAACAGATCAGGAGAAAGATTAAAAACCAAGGAGGAGGCCTGTCTGGCCAGGTGCTAAATCAGATATCAGAGTGGTGCAGTGGTGGGTGCCCACGGCAGGCCAGAAGTGCCTGAGCGTCAGGGCCCCTGATGCAGTGGACAGTCCGTCCTGCTCAGTCGGGGTTCACAACCTGCTGTGCTCTGGGGAGAGGGCACAGTGGACCCTTCCACTCACTGTTTACAATGACTCCCAGGCACACACACACATGTGTGTGTGCGTGTGTGTGTGTGTGTGTGTGTGTGTGTGTGTGTGCAAGTCTGTACATGTATAGAAAGGTGCAAACACATGTAGAAGGTGTTGCTTTTCAGGCATCGCCCGTTTTGAGTTTTGGGACACAGTCTCTGGGCCGGCTGCTCAGTGAGCCTCAGAGAGTCTCCTATTCCTGCTTCCCGGGAGCAGGAATTAGAGCCCTGTGCCACTATATCTGACTTGTTTATGTAGGTTCTGGTCTCGAACTCAGTTTCTTGTGTTAAGCACTTCATTAGGCTATCTCTCCAGTCCCTGGTAAGTAAACATTTTAAAACCAAAACTTGAAACTTTGAAAGAAAAAACAGAAAAGGGCAACATCAATGTGCTGTCTTCTGTTTCCCAAGTGCTGGTTAAAGGTGTGTGGTACCATGCCTGGCTGTTTTACCTTTTGAGTCAGGGTAGCCTAGGCTGCCTCAAACTTGCAGTGGATCCTTTGCTCTGTGGTTTTTGTGCTTAAAGGCCCTGCGTTTCCACAGCTCTGGGTCGCAGTGCAGCTCCTGAGCCTGCCTGTGTCCCCAGCCAGTCAGTCTCAATAAAGCAGCTAAGTTTTCCTGAAAAAACAAAACAACAAAAAAAAAAAACCTTGCAGTGGAGGCTGACCTCCATCTTCTGATCTTCCTGCCTTCATCTCCCAAGGTCTGAGATTGCAGGCCTGTAATAACACGCCTGGCTGGAGAAGGCTTTTAAAAATCAGAGATAGGGCTGGGTACGGTGGCACATGCCTTTAGTCCCAGCACTTGGGAGGCAGAGGCTGGTGGATCTCTGTGAGCTCAAGGCCAGCCTGGTCTACATAGTGAGTTCCAGGCCAGCTGGTCCTGCAGGGAGATCCTGTCTCAAAAAAAAAAAAAATTCAAATCAGAGACAAATGGTACCCACTGCCCTAAATTCAAAGACACCCCATCCACAGACCTGAAGCCATAGGTTTCATTCAGCCCAAAATGGGGTGCTGTGCCTCTGACAGGCCAAGACAACCTGACCGCAGACCACTGACCAACCTTGCTACCTGTGCTCAGCCCAGAGCCTCCTGTCTATCAGGCTCTGAGCACCTAGATTTGTCCAATTCAAAATCCCCTCTGCCCATAGCCCTGTACCCAACCCTCCAAATGGAAGGAAAAGCTAGGAACAACTGATCAAAGGGTCCCAGCTGTAGAGAGGATGGGATCAAAACTGTCAGAGGCCAGTGGGGATGAGGCTGGGGCAGACAATACGGTTGAGACCTGCAGTGTGACAATCTGACTTACATCATCGTAGGCTGGTTCAAACCAAGAAGGAATCCTGTCTGGACTGTGAGCACTGGGCACTGAGGGTGTGACCCGTAGGTCTGTTCATGAGACTGAGTGCCAGCTGATACAAGATATTAACAAAAATGAAACAAACAACAGGGCTGAGTTAAACAGGGTTGTATAGAAGTTCTCTATACATTCTGGTCAATTTTTCTATAAACTGTCTAGGTGTGGTAGTACCTGCCTATAATCCCAGTTCTCAGGAGACTAAGGGAGGGGATAGAAAGTTTGAGGGTACATTGAGCTACATGGCAACATCTTGGATAGACAAGTAAGTAAGTAAATAAATAAAGTGACTTTTAAAAATGTTCCCTGTGGCATAACCAGCTCTCTTCTGGCTTCTGTGTTTGCTCTACTGCTTTACCACAGCCAGTGACACCTCCCTAAGAACCAGACAAGAGGAGGTACACTGGCAGCTGAGGGTCCCAAAGAGGCTCAGACATTTAGGTAGGGACCCTGGTCTGCGCACCCCTGGCCAGGCTGGGACTGCTCCCTCTAGCCTCTGCAGCAGCCTCTGGGGACCTCTGATCCCTGTGCTTTCCTCCCCCAGGTAGGAGTCCAAAGACAGTTTTCAAGGACAAGGGGTCCTGGAGGCCTCTCGTTCCACCAACTAGCGATGCTGACCTGCTCCTTGGCGTCCAGTGTCCCCGCTCCCAGGATACTCAGCACCCTCCTGCTCCTGGCTGCCTCCCTGAATGCGCAGAATGAAAGTAGGTCTGGGGCCTTGGCCTTGAGGAGGGGTAGAGGGGTGCAGGCAGGGTGGGAAGGACAGACCAGCATCAGACCCAGGTAGTGACTGTGACCCAGCAGTCTGTGACCAAGCCCTGTAGACAAAAAGCAGGGCTGGCGCCCCTAAGCTGCGGAAGTGTGAGCCAGGCACCTCTGAGATGGCCAAAAATGCCTGGGGTCACTGTCAGAGCACTGACATACCCAGACTTCACGCGAAAGAAGCCTCTTAGTGTTGGAGACTGGGGAACAAGTTTCACAGGACTGAGGACCTGTGGTAATTTCTCTGGACACATCCACTTTTGCATCACCCAGCCCTTAGGCCAGCAGACAACACTCAGGCCAGTCAGAGGGGTGTGCAGAGAATGGGGCCCAGAGAGTTCCCCCAACACAGCTCTCCATATCCAGAGTCCCCAGGTTGGCAGAGAAATCACCCAAGACCCCAACACCCTGGTCTCTTGGATGATCACAGGGGATAACGGGGACTTGGAGTCTTATCATTGCCCACATATTACTGGCCAACTTACACCCAGGGAACCCTCTGGTCCTGGGAGAGCAGCCTATCACTGCTCTGAAGCTTTGCCCTGCCCACATGCATGATCATTCTTTCTAATAGTCTGGGACAGCCCCTCTTGCACCGAGGATGTGGTGTCGGTACTTAGGGGCAGTCCTGCGGTGATGGCCTGCAACATCTCCAATGCCTTCACCGATGTCAGCATCCGACTGATTGCTGGAGGACAGGACAGGACCATCTTCAAGGAGATGCCTCCAGGACTCTTCTCACGGGGAGGGTGGCAGCTCCAAATTCAAGGAGGTCAGGCCCAGCTGGTGATCCAAGATGCCCAGGACGCCCATGCAGGGCTGTATTTCTGGCAGCTGCATGGACGCCAAAGAGAAAACAAAAACATCACACTGAATGTATCAGGTGAGGCAAGGGTTGTGAGGTGAGGAGGCGAGGGGTCTTAAAGTGGGTATGGGGGGGCACGGTGACTTTGAGGGGAGGAGGGAGAGCAGAGGGAAAGGCAAAGATGTGGATCTCTCAAAGGAGCTTAGTCTGTCCTGAGATGTGAAAAGGGGCTGGGCTATCCATGGCAGAAGCCTATCCAGGGTGGACAAGAGGCACCTTGAGGTCCATGCACCTGTCCTTCCCTGCCACCCCAAGCTTCCCACACATCAGCTATGGGGTGCAAGTGCACCCTAATCCTCTGTGTTTCGGAAGGCTCTAGGAGGGCCCAGCCACCGTCTGGCTTGGGATGATCCTGCCATACCCCATCTTGCGATTACACAGAGGCCCATGGCTGTGGTCACCTCAGCTGAGGGTATGTTGAGCCTTAGTGACCACACATTGGGGCTCCAGGTCCAGCAGCACCCACACTGTCATGACCCTGCCCACTATCCCACCCCCAATGTCTCCTTCCATGGAGGCTTGCCCTGGATCCTGTGCATCATAACAAGAGCAAGTTCAGCCAGGCATGGTGGCACATACGTGTAATCCCAGCCTTTGGAAGGCTATGGGGCAGCCTGGGCTACATGCCTTGTCTCAAAGTAACAAAAACTCAAGAGCAAGTTCTCCCCACACCACCACCCTCCCCTCTGACCACCCTCTTGTTTACACATGACCCTAGGACCCCCTCACTGTCCTGCTCCACTTCCTACCTGCTCTAGCATCATTCCATCGCCGTGACAAACACCAGGAGGAAAACCAGGGCAGGAGCTCCAGCAGGAAGCTGAAGCAGAAACCACCGGGAAGCCGCTTGCTGACTTGCTGGCCAGCCTGTGCTTAACTGACTTTTATTTGTATTATTTATTTATTTATTTTTGAGACAGTCTCTCCCTGTAGCCCAGGCTGGCCTAGAACTGGCTATATAGACCAGGCTGGCCTCGAATTTACAGAGATACACCTGCCTGTTTCTTGAGTGCTAGGATTAAAGGTGTGCACCGTGTCTGACTTAACTAGCTTTCTTCTATAGCCCAAAGCTCCCTGCCCAAGGAATGGTGTCACCGGCAGTGGGCTGGGCTACATCAGTTAACAATCAAGACAGAAATCCCTCAATTGAGAATCCCTTCTCAGGTGACTCTGGTCTGTGTCAAGCTGACAGAACACTGCTCCAGTTACCTTTATGATTCATTCACAAGTGGAAATAACTTGAAAACCCAACCTGACCCACTCTGTGCTTATCCCTGCTGCACCCAGAAATGGATCTCTCCGAGCCTGAAATCCACTACCCACCCCACCTTCCCATTCCTGCAAAATTAATTCTGTCTTCCTCAGGCCCCCACACCAGTTCAATGTTATAGTCACCCTGCTCCAGTTACCTTTATGATTCATTCACAAGTGGAAATAACTTGAAAACCCAACCTGACCCACTCTGTGCTTATCCCTGCTGCACCCAGAAATGGATCTCTCCGAGCCTGAAATCCACTACCCACCCCACCTTCCCATTCCTGCAAAATTAATTCTGTCTTCCTCAGGCCCCCACACCAGTTCAATGTTATAGTCACCAAGCCCCTGGAGTGAGGCTTGGCATCAGCTCCTCCTGGGATCAGCCATCCCTACGGGACTGCTGCAGCTGGGGTTGGGGGGGTGCATCTGCCTAGCACTCAACCTGAAGGTGTGTCACTGACAGAGCCCGAAGACCCAAAGAAAGCCATAGGCGAGGGGC